TAATTTGTTTTTAGGATATTTATTCTCTTTAGGGTTAATTTGTTTTTTTAGGATACTTAGTCTCTTTAGGGTTAATTCGTTTTTAGGATATTTAGTCTACTTTAGGGTTAATATGTTTTTGAGGATACTTAGTTTCTTTAGGGTTAATTTGTTTTTAGGATACTTAGTCTCTTTAGGGTTAATTTGTTTTTGAGGATACTTAGTTTCTTTAGGGTTAATTTGTTTTTTTAGGATACTTAGTCTCTTTAGGGTTAATTTGTTTTTTAGGATACTTAGTCTCTTTAGGGTTAATTTGGTTTTTTAGAATACTTAGTCTCTTTAGGGTTAATTTGTTTTTAGGATATTTAGTCTCTTTAGGGTTAATTTGTTTTTTAGGATACTTAGTCTCTTTAGGGTTAATTTGTTTTTTAGGATACTTAGTCTCTTTAGGGTTAATTTGTTTTTTAGGATACTTAGTCTCTTTAGGGTTAATTTGTTTTTTAGGATACTCTCTCACACATTTCTCTACACTATGTAGAAAATCACAGCTGTTAGTCTCATATTAACAATCTTAACAAAACATAAGTACACCTTTTCTGCATCACGTTTATATCTACTTTTTGAGGGGAATCGAATCCCTGACTTTAGCGTCGTAAATCCGTAGACTTTCAAACCGGGGGATAGTACTTTGTGAATATGACTTCTTTATATTTAAATCGATTTATTCTGTGATGTTGTAGTGTCTTCTGTCTCTCTTGGTAAAATTTATCTGTTTTCTGTTGCGTCGTATTAATTTACGATCCTTATATATTTTTTTCCATGCTCTTCGAAAACTTTTAAAATTTTCTGTTGTGTTCTTGGTTAAGAGCTTCAAACACCACTCTAAATATCTGCTTGAAATCATCTATTTCATCTTCTTTTATAATTACCTCCGCCACCGAAGGTGGACGGATGGACGGTGGTTATGTTTTCACCCTCTGTGTGTGTGTTTCTCGGCACACAAAAAAAATAGATTAAAGAGTCTATGTTCAAATCTAAAAAGTTATTTTTCTTCTTGTGTTTTTTAGCACAAAGTTACACAATGGGCAATCTGCTCCGTGTACACCGCGGGGAATCGAAACTCAGATTTTGCCGTTGTAATTCCGTACGTAAACTTACTGCTAACCCACTGGAGGTCAATCTAAAAAAGAACAAAAATCGCTGTCTATTTAATTTCCATATTTCGAAGCATAGTAAAGTCCCATAAAAGGTGCTGTTGACAGTAATATTAATTGTATATTTTGTTGATTTATTGAATTTTGCGAAATGCGTCCCTAATTTAGAAGTGATAGACTAGAGGGAGGGCAACTAATCAACACCACCCACCGTCAACTCTTGGCCCACTCTAATCGAATAGTTGGATTAACCGTCACATTATAACGTCCCCACGACTAAAAACGCGAGCATGTTTGGTGACGGGGATTCGAACCCGCGACCCTCAGATTGCGAGTCAAGCGCCCCCTAACCACTAACTTTCTGTTGCTGTTTTGCATGTCTCACAAACTTTATATATTTATAAACGAATAAATTAAGTATTTTATTTTTAATCTGTACCTTAAAGTACCTGATTTTTCATGTGTGACATGGAAAAAGTTATAAGTCCTAAATTTTAAAACCTGAATACAATATTTATTCACTAACATCACGAAAGTTGATTTACAAAATTCAAATATTTCCAAACACGTTCATATAAAAAAAATGCCCATTTTCATTGTGAATAATTAAAACATCAATAATGATTTACTATCACAAATTCTACTTTATCAATACAGGACTGAAGCTAGCAAAATATTTTCAAATTTTTCTTTTACAACTTCACAAACAACAAAGAAAGAGCCAAAATAAAGTTATAAAGGTTTTATTTATTAAATATGTTTTTTTTAAATAAAAAAGTATATACAAAAAGACAGTAGTTCTGAGAAAGTTTATAATTTTAAGTTTCCGTTTATGAAATATAAAAGCTAATAAAATTTTTGTTCTTCCGTTTATGAAACATTTTTTTGTTCTTATAAACAAAGCTGGATCATTTGTGCTGCGCCCACCACGGGTATCGAAACCCAGTTTTTTAGCGTTATAAGCCTTTAAGCTTACCGTTGTGCCACTGACGGATAGCTCATAAAATAAAATATTAATTAAGAAATGACTAAAAGAAATCACTAAGTGTGATAAGTAAAACTTGTGTCTCGAAGGTAACCTATAATTGTAAAATATCTGTTAAGAACAGCACAGTGAACCTAATATATCTAAGTCGATATATATATACTGTCTTTAGAATCAAGGTTTAATATTTACCTTCACTATAGCTTTCACATATCAAAACGGCCTAGAAGAATATGTGTATTCTCTAAATATTCCACTGAATCACAAGAAATAAACTCTACCATTGACATTTACTTCTCGAAATTTTTTAAAAGAATTTTAATCCCAATGATGTAAATTAGACAAAAGAGGGCGCCTCTGTTCTACAAACCCAAGGTTTGTAAAAGGATGCAACCAAACTTTTTTATTGGAACAGTTTTTACTGTAGGAAAAAAAATTAACATAATTAAAAATACATAGGTTTTGCTCTCTCTAATCTACTGAGTAATAAACATATGAATGATAATGTAAATATGCCATATAAGGAATATAACCCGCATTTTAAAGTTTTCACGAAGCAAATCTCTTTCCAATCATGTTTAAATTCGTTTTCCCAGTAATGAAGACGCGTAACAGCTGGTTACCGAGAGCTATGACTTCACAATGGTGATCTTTGTCCAACTTCGGTAGCGTAGCCAGGTTTTCCACTCAGGGGAGGCAGAAAATTTTAAGGAGGGGGGCAGAAAATTAAAAAAGCTGAAATTGATCTAACCGTTTAATAAAACGGTCATTAAAACAACTCAAATGTAATAGTGTTTATAGAAGTTGTATTTTTTAAATAAATGATACAAAACGAGTTTATTATATATAAAAGCTGAAACATAATATGCGATCAATATGCCTAGATTTTTCAGGGATGGCGGACATATTTTAATTGAGCCAGT